GGGCCAACCAGTAGAGGCATTCTACTTTTTTTTTTTTTTTTGAGAGGGAGATTTTTTACTATAGGGTCATGAGCTCGCTGGAGAGACAGAGACAAGAGACAGAAATCGAGGAATCATCCTCTGGAGGGATGACCACACCCTTCTCCTCCAGTCTCCTCTCAGAATACTGAGCATGCATACACACGTGCCCGGTGTGAGATTTAAGTAGTCAGGTCTGAGACTCGAACCACAGTTGACCATGGGGGGGGGGGTTCAGAGATGTAACCATTATACCATCTGCTGGTCCCCCAGTAGAGGCAGTCTTGAATCTCCTGTTTACACCTCTCCTCAAGTCTGGGAACTGTTAACAACCAGAGAGCTCAGGTAACAGCTCCCCTCCCAGCCACCTTAAAGCTTCACTGATTCCATGACAGAGAGAAAAGGAGATTACTGACAGTGCAGTATGTTTTTTTCAACCCTGATAGAGGCAGGTAGCACAGTGGCATCCATAAGAGGGAAAAGGTATGACTAGTAATAAAAACCATACTATTCAAGGGGGAAAAAAAAGACTGAACTCAGAGCATGCTGTGCCCCTGCCACTTACTTAACTGGTAGTGATGGGGTGAGGGATTGGAGACTAATATATTTTTTTATTATTATTTTTTTCTTTTTTATTTTATTATTATTATTTTTAGAGGTTTTTGCTATAGGGTGCATGCGCTTACCAGAAAGACAGAGAGAGACAGAAAGCAAGAAATCACCCCCCAGGGGAGATGGCCACACTACAATCCCTTCTCCTCCATTCTCCTCTCAGGATCTTGGACACACACGCACATATACCCAGTGTAAGTTTAAGCCACCAGGTCTGGGACTCGAACCGCAGTCAACTACATGGGAGTTCAGCGACATAGCCATTATGCTAACCGCTCATCCCCAACTAATGTTTTTTTGAACTGCCAATGAACAGTTTTTAATATCACATTGTACAGAAGCTATTTTCACCCAGTTTGCCAGATAGGGAAACTAAGACATGGAGAAGTAACTTTTCCAGTCATGCAGTAGTTAGAAGCAAGCATTCTGTGCTGATTTCAAACACTATATTCTACCTTGTTATCAAACCAGAGGGCTACATTTGGGGTTCACAAGAATACAGGGACCATGGACATGGGGTTTGGAAGAAAGCAGGAAGGAGAGGGAGGCTGTGCTGTCGGCAGCCTGCGTACCTGTATACCTTAGTTACCACTCTGCCCAGGAAGGCTCTGGGCAGTGGAGGTCAGAGGGCCCGCTGTAGAAGTAGACCCTGGCCTTCTTAGGCATTGCAGTTCCATCCTGGCCCATTTTCTATGTACCTGTGAAGTGTGGGTAGAAAGGCTGGTTACCAGGTGCATGGCCCTTGGCAGAAATCTGGAGCCCCATAAACTCAAGTGGTCTCAGAGGATGCAGAAGCACCCAGCTCAGTCTCCCTGACCATGGCACTAGGGAGACCATGCTCTGAACTTTGGGAGTGACTCTTTCTCAACAGGAAGAAATAGACAACTTAATATCCATGACCTTAGGGCTAGCCCTGTAGCCTAGCAGTTAAGGGAGCCAGATCCCATATGGCTGACCATGATTCGAATCTATTTGAATCCCAGCCCCGGCTGCTTATAAAAACACGGGTTCAGGACTAGCAGTTAGCATAATGACTATGTTGCTGGACTCCCATGTAGTCAACCATGGTTCGCTTCCGGATCTGGTGGCTTAAAACTCACACCAGGCACACGTGTGTGTGTGTGCCCAAGATCCTGAGAGGAGAATGGAGGAGAAGGAATTGCAGCGTGGCCATCCCCCTGGGAGGTGATTAGGTGATTTCTCACTTTCTGTCTCTCTGCCTCTCTCTGTCTGTCTGGTGAGCACACGTGCCCTATAGCAAAAACCTCTCAAAAAAAAAAAAAAGAAAAAAAAGAATAGGGTGCATGTGTGTGCATACCTCAAATTCTGACATGATGGATAAATGGAGTAGAAGGGATTGTGGCATGACCATGCCACATTGGGGTTGCTTTCTCTCCCTCTCTCTCTGTATCTCTCTGTCTCTTTCTGATAAGTACCTGCGCCCTCTGGCAATGAAAATAGCCTCTGACCTTATGTCCAAGACCTCATGGAAGTTGGCTCTACCACATCTTGATCTCATGATTCAGAAATGAAGCTGATATTCCTTTTGGGTGTATATTTCAGCTATGAAGGAGCAGAGACGGAAGCTTTGCAAAATGAATGAGCTTCTTATCTGTGTTCCACACGGGGATGTGGTGGGAGGGAAGAGCATTTAGGATCATTGCTCCTTTTAAGGCTAACAATAGGGTCAGCCTGGAGCTGGCTCCATTAAGCTTCGGCAAATCTTCCTGCTTTCACACTGAATTACTCATCCGCTGCCCTCACTACCCTGTACATGGGCAAGAATGCCTGCATTTGCTGTTACAGAGCTGGAGAAATCCACAACCCGGTGTCCCTCAAGAAGTGTGACACAATCTCTGTGGCCTTGACTCACCACAGGGTCTGCCGTGGGTTCACAGGGCGTGCTGTTCCTGTTAGCATCTCACATGGCTACTTCTCTTTTTCTTTTCACTAGCCAAGTTCTCAAATTCTAGAGAATCAATTAGCAATAACTTAATTAGTTTGTTTCCTCCTGAAAACAACGTATATTATAAATAATCGAAGGATCGATGTGGGTAGGGAGGTACTGGGAGAGAAACCAGGTGATGGAGGAAGAAAATACCATTTGCTTCTCCAGGAATTAAACCACCACTGTGGACATTTCATGCATTTCCTTCTGAAGTTTTTTTCTTGCATATTTTTAGGCTTAAAAAAATTGTGATCACTTAATTTTATATTCTGCTTTTTCTTTCAGCATAATAGCATCTATTTCCCTATCATTACAAGTTCTTCATGATTACAAATTTCACATGGCCAACTGTGCCGTTCGAATTCCAGACCTGGCAACTTGTAAAACACACTGTGTGCGTGTGCATGCATGCCCAAAATTTTGAGAGGAGAGTGGAGGAGATGGGATTGCAGTTTGGCCATCCCCCCGGGGGTGACCTCTCACTTCTTTTCTCTCTCTCTCTCTTTGGAGCACACATACCCTATGACAGAAATCTAAAAAGAAAGAACAAAGAAAAACATACTTAAGCTTCCTCCCCTTCTCTCTTCTTTTTCTAAAATGTCTGTAGGTTGCACCGGGTGTAAATACTGCCACGCGGACCATGCCAAGGCAAAAACGGTAACTGGAGGCTGGACCGCATTGCCGTGTGTCTGTCACACGTCGGAGCATGGGCTTGGCTCCTGTGATACCCTGTGCCCTTGGATGGTCCCTGCTGTCAAGGAATTATCAGTCTACTTTGGGAGATAAAACCATACTGAGTCGTCAGGAAAGTCATGACCTATTTTCTGAGAGATTTTCACTGTAGGGCGCGTGCGTTCGCCAGACAGACAGAGAGAGACATAGAGACAGAAAGCGAGAAATCACCCCCCAGGGGGGATGGTCACGCTGCAATCCCTTCTCCTCCATTCTCCTCTCAGGATCTTGGGCATGCACACACACACGCCCGGCGTGAGTTTTAAGCCACCAGGTCCGGGACACGAACCGCGGTCGACTACGTGGGAGTCCAGCGACATAGCCATTACGCTAACTGCTGGTTCCCATGACCTATTTTCTATGTTTTTCTATGCAAAAATGCTTCCTGACTTTTCTGACAACCCGAAGAGCCCTAGGTTAATCCTGGGCTCTTTCTGTTTTTTTTCTTTCAGGTTATTGATATGAAAATATATGTTTATAGTTGAGGGAGGGGATAAAGAATAAGATAAAAGAGGGTAAAAAACACCAAGAAAGAATATATATTAATTATAATTAGGCTAGAGCACTTATTTATACTGATTAAGACAGACAGTGAATTTTTAATAATGGCATTTACGGAGAGGTGTAGTTCAGATAGCTATTGGTCTCATTTTAATTCTAGCCTTGCCTGGGAAATGTCTAATAATTGACCCCAAATGATGTTTTTTCTCTCATTTGACTTATTTTTGTTATTCATGAGAGAGCAGGTGTGTGTGTATGAGAGAGGGAGGAAGCACAGCAGAGAGAGAGACAGGTACTCTCAACGGGGGTCTCCTCACGCCATGATCCTCTCCCCACAGCCTTCCACCCAGTCAGAATCTTGGACCTGTGTGCACCCCCATGTTTTTAGGATGACCATGGTTCCTAAAACTATGGTTGGCCATGTGATTTCATCTGTGCAGACTGCCACCAAGGCTGGACTGCCCTCTTTGATTTAAATGCTCTGAGTTGATTGTTTTTCATGTATCTATCCCCAAATGTCTAAACCTTTATTAAGGACATGTGTATTAAATTGCAGCCGATATTAGTGGTTGATTATCTGAGCTACGGGTTCTGATTTTATGGGCCTGTTGAGATCTATTTTCCCTTATTTTCATCTTTATGGTTACTATGAATCTTATGAAAAAATATTCCAAAGAAGAGTTAGGAAATACATAAATTGCAGAAGTGCTATAAAGAATGTCATGATGGTGGGTGTGTGTGAGTGATGGGATATTATTGCAGTGCATGGGTTGGGGTGGACACAGGGAGCCAAGTAGGAAACAGCCTGTTTTCAAGATGCTTTGAGTGAAGGGTGTGCACCAGAAAACCATGCCCTTCCAAACCCAGGCGTTAGATTGATAGAGCACTGGGGGCCAGCAGGCGGCATGGTAGTTGAGGCGCTGGACTCCCACATGGCCTCTGTGATTCGAGTCCTGGACTGCGTGGCTTGCTTTCTCGCTCTCTCTCTGTCTCTCTCTGGTCAAACTGAAGAATGCTAATAGTAAATAAAATAAAATAAATAATTTTTAGAAAGAATTAAATATCTTTTAAAAGAAAAAAAAAAGAGTCATAGAGTATCAGGGGCTTATCAAGCATCTTGGCAGATGGATCAAGTGCTCCCTTTCTGCCATGACCAGAGATGCATCTCAACACTCTTCTCTTCTTTCAGATTGATGATCCCAACAGCAGCCTCGGGGAGGTGATTAATGAGGCTGAGGCCATCACCTCTGTGAACAGTCTGGGAAGCAAGCAAGCCTTGAATACAGATTACCTGGATTCTGACTACCAGAGAGGACAGCTGTACCCGTTCTCCCTCAGCAGCGATTTCCAGATGGCCACGTTCACGCTGACAAACACAGTTCCGATGACCCAGTCCTTCCGGGAACGGTGGTACATGAACCTCCACAGCCTAATGAACCGGGCCTTGGCCCCGCAGTGTGGCAGTGGGGAAGACCTGTATATCATCACCGGAGCAGTGCCCTCCACACACACAGTTAGAGACAGAGTGGCGGTCCCAGGGTTGGTTTGGCTGGCGGCCTGCTGTGCTGTCCCTGGAGGAGGCTGGGCCATGGGCTTTGTTAAGCATGCCCAGGACAGTGACATCATAGAAGATGTGATGGTGAAAGATCTTGAGAAACTGCTTCCATTGAACCCTCAGCTGTTCCAGAACAACTGTGGTGAAACTGAGCAAGACACTGAGAAAATGAAAAAAATCCTAGAAATGGTTAATCAGGTCCAGGATGAAGAGCGAAATGTGCAGTCTCAGGAGAGTACTAGTCCTCTCTCCAGCCCCAGGAGCAAGCGGTCGGCTCTGCTGCCTCCAGAGGGAGCCGAGGGAAGTGGTAGCTTCTTGGGAAAACTTTTGGGTTTCATCGCTACCCCGTTCATCAAGCTTTTCCAATTAATTTCGTACCTTGTGGTAGCAATCCTGAAGAACATTCTCTGTTTCCTGTGGTATGTCACCAAGCAGGTGATTAATGGCATAGAAGGTTGCCTTTACCGCCTGGGCTCAGCCACCGTCTCCTACTTCATGGCCATTGGGGAAGAGTTGGTGAGCATACCCTGGAAGGTGCTCAAGGTTGTTGTCAAGGTCATCAGGGCCATTCTGCGGATCCTTTGCTGCGTGCTGAAGGTCGTGTGCCGCATTCTGGGCATCCCTATTCGCGTCCTTGTAGACGTGGCCACTTTCCCTGTGTACACCATGAGTGCAGTTCCAATTGTGTGCAAGGACATCGCAGTGGGACTTGGTGGCACTGTCTCTTTGCTCTTTGACACTGCTTTTGGCACCATGGGTGGCCTGTTTCAGGTTGTTTTTAGTGTCTGCAAACGGATTGGCTACCGGGTTACTTTTGACAATTCTGGGGAGTTATAGAACTCACAAACTAAGAGTGTTCAGTTATGGTGAATTTGATTTATTTTTAAATAGAAAAAGCTGGATTATTTCATCTTTATAATGGGTCTCTGTTCACTGTTAATTATTATATTTTCACCTTTGGTGGGGGTGACTGCCTGTTTTTGCAAAGGAGGATAGTGCAATTTAGACTTGACCCAAGAGAAATGCTCAGGGCAGAACTAGGTGTAGTCACGTGCTGAGTCCTTCCAGGGAGAGGTGCACATTTCTAAGCCACTACTAATTTCTGTTATTCACTCTGATGTGGATGATCGCTTTCCAGGGAGAGGTGCACATTTCCAAGCCACTACTAATTTCTGTTTTTCACTTCGATATGGATGATATGGATGATATGGTGTTTGTTTGTGATCACTAAACATTACAGAGAGGGAATTAGAAAGAAGACAACTTTAGGGCCAGACCTACAGCCTGGGATTAGGGGAGCTAGCTCCCACATGGCTCACTGTGGTTCAAATCCTGGCCCTGGCATCTTGAAAAACACGCAAGGCATGTGTGTTTGTGTGCCCCAATTCCAGCAGGTTGGAGAAACGGAGGTGAAGGGATTTTGTGGCATGACCATTGCCCCACTAGGGGTACTCTCTCTCTCTCCCTTTCTCTTTGGTGAGTGCATGTGCCCTCTGGCAGTAAAAGAAAAAATAATAATAAAATGAAATAAAATCAAAAGAATTTTAAACCAAAGGGTTTCTGAGAAAAAGAAAGGAATCTTGCTCCTCTATTACTCTTTAGACTTAAGACAAAACAGATATAAATATCTTCGGCCAACTTAGCATTTGCTTTTCTTTCTTCCCTACTCAACTGGCCTTGAAGTGCAGACAAGGCTTCTCTGTTAAATAGTGTCCACAGGGAAATAGAAGCTGCTATATCCCTTGGCTTTCCATGGTTCCCGAGGACCAGTAAGGATGTTTCCCCCTCCTGGTTGAATTTTGCTGCGTTTTCCTTTAGGTAATGGTAAGCATTTTATAGCAAAGGTGGCAAAGCCAAGTGTGAATGCAAGGGCAGTGACTTTCCCTGCCACTCGAATGGTGTAAAGAAGAGAACACAAGAGTGTCAGCCCTTCTCCCGGTTGGTGCTGTCGATGTGGGGAGATCCCAGCCAGCCTGACATGGGTTAATGTGACGTGTGTTAAATCTCTGGCTGACAAGATGGAGCTAAAAACCCACATGTTAGCTAATATGAAAATCCATATTCTGCAACACAGTAGATCTTTCTAATGCATTGTGTAAATACACACTATGGTAAAACACTGTTCTTAAATTGAAGATGATTATCTCTTGGGGAATTATATTTATAGTATGATCGAGGCTAGAAAACAGAATGTTTCCCATTGATGCAAGTTCAATGTGAGTTAATTCCCAATCTTTTGATCAGGCACTTATTATTTTAAATTTTGCACTAAAAGTGGTATCAAGAGACAACAAGATTTGTCCTGCTTTCCATAGCCGGGATGGAATCTTCTGGATTCTTCTAAGTGTTCTAAAGAGTTGCATGAGTATGAAAGGGGCCAAGTGTAAATACCGACCTTGAGAGTGCAGCCTACTGTTTATCAAAAACAGGCAGATATTCGGAGCTCAGAAAGGCAACAAAGAGAGAACAATGTGTCCGACACTTGCATGGGACTAGTGCGTGAGAAAAGAGAGTGTAGCAAGCTACATTTTGCAGAAAGATAATAGAATTGCACCTCAAGAAGAACAGCAGCCGGCAAGCTCTCTCCTGATCAAGTTGTGAGACAAAGTTGGTGAGGAAGAGCACCACAGTTCACTGGATTTGCCTGAGAACCTTAGGCAGTGTCTCACCAATGCTTCTCTTTGTGACCATGAAAATGTTGGGCTTCCCTTTCTCTCAGCAGTGTGAATATAAATGGGAAGGTGAGGGTTCGCACGGTACTAACAGGTCAAGAATCCTGGTGGATTGGGATCAGCAAATGGCATAATGGTTATGAATATAAATGGGAAGGTGAGGGTTCGCATGGTACTATCAGGTCAAGAATCCTGGTGGGTTGGGATCAGCAAATGGTATAATGGTTATGTCGCTGGATTCCCATGTAGTCGACTGTAATTCGAGTCCTGAACTCGAACTGGGATTTTCTAGTCTGTGGGTCAGCCACACCTTTGATACGCCTCTTTTCTCTGTCAAGTATGTGTACATATGTGCCCAAAATCCCGAGAGAAGAATGAAAGAGAAAGGATTGCAGTGTGGCCATTTCTCGCTTTCTGTCTCTCTGGCAAGCGAATGTGCCCTGTAACAAAAATCTCTCTTTAAGGAAAAAAGAAAAGAAAAAGAATCCTGACAGATGAAAGAAAAGGCTGGTCAGGCAGGCAACAGGCTTGACCTCAATTCATGGCTCGCTTAGGGCAACTTAGGAGCCGAGGTCATTTGTACATGTCCCATCACACCTGGGACAGTAGGCTTGGGGAGCGTGTGCTCCTATTCAGCAGGTTCTCTGGACCACGGCAGAATCCTCTCACTCATCAAACAGACTCTAGGCCCTGACTAGTCGGTTGGGGTGGCGTGTGTGAGGAAAACAATTAGCCCTCCGTGTACAACATCACATGATGCTTACTGCATCCCATGGGACCTGTATAGTACAGATTTCATGCTGATAGGTCCAATGAGGGCATTCATGGCAGCCCAAGACCCTTGGCACCATGCAAGGAACAACACATCCAGTCTGCTTCTTGAGAAGCATTTAGAAATGTCTTTTTTTCACATCCAGTTGTCAAGTGTCGTTTTATTTAGTTATCTATTTATTTATTCTTACATGACTTTTTTTGAAATCTAAGAAGGGATAGGAACCAAAAATATCCTTTGGGTCAGGTGGCTGGGACTCTGTCTTTGGACTACTGCTGTTTTCCATGCCTGTGCTTCACTAGAACTGGCTTTGTTGAGCCTGTACCCCCAGCAGGAGGCTGGACTGCTGGCCTGGCCCACTGAGCTACTTTGAACTTTGAGATGGAAGTTTGGGGTTGATGAACCCCATGTCTGACTTCAAGATTATGCTGTGGCCCTCTGATTTTCTCAGGCCCTTGAGGAAGTCGGCCGACTTCATTATTATGGAGCTGATTTCCTAGCCTGTGGGTCAGCCACACCTTCGGATACGCCTCTTTTCCATGTGCCTTTTGGATGTTGGCTTCCTCCTCAGCATCAGCACTTCCACCTGGACAGTCTAGGGAGCCGGGAGAAGGAAGCAGAAGCAAGCACTCTTCATTCATGCTGTCATTTATTCATCCATCACACATTCATGTGGATGTGAAGGTTGCAGAGATGAACAACACACAGATCCCGTCTTTGAGGAGTCCAAAATCTGGTGGGGAGAGCACATGGTACAACTGATCATGGTGATGCATCATGGCAAGTGCTGTGGTAAGGCACTGGCTGCATGCTCCTTGGGACACAGGAGAACTCACAGAACCTCGGGGATGAGGGAAGCCTTTACAGAGAGCATGGCAAGTCAACTTGACCTTTTTAAGCTATGTACAACGCTGTCTCCTTGCAGATGCTCAATAAAATAATTATGGACAACTCCTTAGCAGTGTCGTCATGTATCTAATTGGGGAATAGTTGAAATAAGGTTTGGGAATTATCTGTGCGGCTTTTCTTTTTCCCTTCTTGACTCAAATTCAGTCAAGCAGTTTCCATTGGCTTTTGTTTGTTTGCTAAAAATCGTGAGTTATGGGGCCAGCAGGTGGCATGGTGATTAAGGTGCTAGACTCCCACATAGCTGATCATAGTTCAAGTCCTGGGGGGTGGGGGGGCGTGGCTTGGTTTCTCACTTCCTTTCGCCCTCTCTGTCTCTGTCTTTCTCTGGTGAGTTCATGTGACCTATAGCAAGCAAATTTAAAAATAATAATAGTAAATAAAATGAAATAAAGAACTCTTTAAAAATGCTGAGTCACACATAAAAAGCAGATAAGGTTGGATAAAGTGAAACAGACCTTAGACCAATGTGATTTCTCTGACAAGCTATTTGGGACATAAAGTATTTGTGATAAGTTCTTCATAATTAAGCACCAAAGGCTTATTGTTTCACTGGTCTTCAATCACATTGAAAATTCTAGAAACACTCTTTTTTCTTTATTCACTACAAAGCTCCCACCGTGAGAGAAATAACAAGCAGTGTCTTTAGGGGAGCGGGTCATCTCTATGCCCTTGAGTAGGGCGCCCCCTCTGGGGTACCAGTGGCAGTCATTCATGGCAGCCTTCCAGCATGGGTGGGGTGTTAGTGGTGAGTCTGGCTTACTCAGCATTTTGCCTGAGCTCACAACACAGTACGTGCTTCTCTCAAGGTTAACTGTAAGCCAGGCTGCTTGGCTTTCATAAATGAGTGCTCAGACTTCTCATGCTCTCTTTCTATAGGTATTTCCACCCTGCTCTCTGATTTCTAACAGTCACACTCTATTTTTAAGCTTAAATTGCAACGAAGAAGTCACTCATGACCACCCATTATCCTCCATGGGTTCAAGGCTCTGATCCTGGCTTCACCACTTACTAACAGCGTAGTCTTGGGTAGGCTACTTACCACCCAAAGCCTCAGCTTCCTCATCTATAAAATAGGCCTAACTGGGAATAACTACCCCAGGAGGCTGTGAGTTGCTTGGCACATACGAAGTGCTTGGGAAATGCCCACGGTTGTGATGGCTGTTGTTGGCAATGATATCTATCACCTTGGATGAAATTGACCGGGAGTTGCCTCAGAGATCAGGGTGTTTCTAGATCAGAGCTGGAAAAACCAGGGTCAAAGTACCATCTGGAAACTGAGGTCATGAAACGAAGGAAGCCAGACCCTCAGAGCTGTCAGTGCTATCAATGAGTCAGAAGAAACAGGTGAGGGTCAGACCTGGAGTATCAAAAGACTTGACATGCTTCCAGCGTTATCTAGGAAGGGAGGCATGTGCCTTTCTGGTTTCTGGAGTGGAGAGGGTTTTTGGTTTGGTTTTGTTTTCATATTTATTTTATTGGGTTATTGGAAAAGTCATGACGTATTTTTCTATGTCTTTCTATGCAAAAACACGTCATGACTTTTCTGATGACCCAGTATTTATTTATATATTATTATTCTTTAATTTGACCAGAGAAAGAAAGAGGGAGATTGAGAAACCAAGCCATCAGGTCCAGGACTTGAACTGTGATCAGCCATGTGGGAGTCCAGCAGCTTAATCACCATGCCACCTGCCAGCCCCTGGAGAGGATTTTTTTCTCTCCAGGCCTCCACATCATTGAGTCCTCTGTCTGAGATTCAGCTTTTGAAGAACCTTACTTCTTGAAGGAGAGTGAAATAGACAGCGAATGTGTACATTTTAGCTACTGAGAACGATGCTGGCTCTCACCATGCAAGGACTCGAACTGCACAGTCGGCCGTGTGGGATCCAGCACCTTAACCGCCATGCCACTGGCTGGCTCGCTTCTGCCTATTTTCTTTTTTCCTGTGTGAGTCAGCTGAGTCCTTCGGTTAATAGATACTGAAATAGAAAATGCCATATGAGTCATTTAACAATAAGAACTAACAAGAAACAAATGCCAGGGGGTGAAAAGTCATAGGTGAGTCT